CGTTTATTTTTTAATTATCTATTTGTGGGGGCAATTAATCTCCTTTGGAAGTTTGTTTCAAACGCAATCATTACTAATTATTCCAAATGGAAATTTTAAATTGAACGTTAGGCTGCTCACTACTTGAGTCATCTTGGATTATGGCTTTACCTAAAGTATATACATAAAAGCGCTCATAAATGGGAGTTTTTTATAGCTAAAGTATCAAACTTCTCTAGTGGGTATTGTGAAAATTCAACATTTGTAGGAACAAGAGATTACAATATGGAGCATTGCTAATGATTTGGCAATCCAACAGTATAAGAATAAATAAAAATAAGTATAATTTCCTAATGTTTGAAATATCTTATTGTCCCTCTAATGATTATGCTTGTAAACGAAGAGGGAATATAGGTGTGAAGTGGTAAAATGAATAATGGACAAAAAATGCATATTTATTAGTTCGTGGTGTAATCCTAGGAAGATTAGGACACTTGAGATATGATGCACGATCTATGGGATCAGGAGTTACCGATACATATATGTGTCCTAATTGTGATAGGGATATACGTCTATTGTTGAGGAATAGTAAGACTTTAATAGTAGAATTCAAGTGGGATTAGGATGTTATGGAAGCTCGACCTCTTCTTTGACTTCTAGGAGGTCGAGATGTATATGCCTAATGTGTGACATTAGAGAACCTTGGGATATAGATCCCGAGGAAGGGTCACCACAATCCTCATTAACCCAAAAACGGTGAGTATACGTTTACACAAAGTCAAGGGTGGAGTGCAACCTGTTTCATGGGGACAATGTAGACCTCGAGGCTAGGTCCCGTGTCACGGAGGTAACATGTGTAGGGGAATCGTGGTGGTGACCTCGGGATATAGAGGACCAAGGTCGGGGAAATGGACGATGACTTTGGCAAGAGGAACTTAAGGTTGAGTCTGGGGACAATCAATTTTGGCTTTAATCGTAAGGGTTTGTGCAACTTTTGTCAAGAATTAACCATTTTAGTTCGGATCTTAAAATATAATCATCATGGTATAGAAATCTAAAAAAACTAAAACAAGCAGTCCGATTCTTAAATTTGTGTTTTCCATCAAGCCATCATCTTGCTAAAGTAAAATTTCACGTCATGTCGCATACCCAATATGACTTAACAGTAATATCTACGTAGAATAAAAAAGAGACAACCATTTTTTATCTACATTTCACAATTCATACACATTTTACACAAAAACACTTACGATTTCTTGGAATCATATGGCGTTGCCCATTCCAATTAAGTTTGGGAATAAGTCAATTTTTTTTTTTCTTGAACCAACCAAAATGTCCCGATTTCATCTCATTACAGATATTTGCAACTCTGTCATCGCCATAAAAGTGCATGAAAATGGAATAATTATTGTAAAAAAAACATTATGAAAGATTGTCATTTTTCTCCTAATAAATTAAATCTGCATTCATGTGCCATGGACATGGAATCATGTGCTATGGACATGGAACCATGTTAGGTTAATTCCAACTTCTAGTCTATTTAAAATCCTAGCTACATAACACTAATGATCCGTTTGATTGCAATAATAGAATTTGGGTGGAAAGAAAATAAATTCCAGAGAATTGAATTACTTAGAACTTGTTTTATTGGAAATTGTCAATTAATTGTGTTTGATTTGTATAATTTTCTACCTGAAAAATATTAAAATTTTGGATCTTTTGGTGTTCGTTTGACTTTGTTTTTCATGAAAATTGTCCATTAATTTATTACAATTGATGATAAAATTTGTTTCAATTGCAAAAAAAAAAAAAACTTTTCCCACCAAACCCATGGGAAAAACTTTTCCTCAAAAACCAAGAAAATGTGGAAAATCAATTCCATGAAAATTTTAGTCAATCAAACATGTAAAAATGTGAAAATGGATTTTAATTTCCATCTTCCATGGAAATGAAAGAGCAATCAAACATGGCCTAATAGGAAAAATGAATTTATGATCGAATCACATCGACTCAATTTGGAATAAGAGTTCAAAAGAGTAATTTCATATGTCTAAAGTTGAAGTTGAAATGAACAATCGAATTTCAAGATTTAGCTTTCAAACGAGTAATTATGTTTTGCTTTTATACGAAAACAATAATTAACGAAAAAATGTGAGTTATTCCTTCAATAACATTGATCCTTAGGATGAAACTTTAATATTCTATATGATGAAATGCTGCTAAAGTCATACTCGATTCAAGTTTTCTACGAATTTTTTTTTTAAAAATTTGTCATTTTTTACCGTTGCACTTGTCATCAATTTCCATTCCTTTTGCAAGGTGGGACACAAATAAAGTGCAAAATTTTACAAAACAGTAGATTTTTCTACCTAAAGATGAGAAAAATGAGTGGAAACATTACTTTTCTTTAAAAGAATTAGTTGGCAAAGGAAGGTTGGTATGAATGGTGTATGATCCAGTCGTGCAATGTGGATCTCCGGTTATGATGAAGATCTGATAAATTATTGTGCAGTAAATAATCAATGCTATTCAAGATACCTAAGTTAGATAATTTCATTGCAATAATTCATTTTGGAAAGAGGAGCACAGAGAATCCAAAGAATTTGCTTGCAAGTTTGTGTTCTTTTTAATTTAAAATAAGAGTCGAGTCTCATATATTGTTCGATCAGTAAAGTAGATCTAATTAATATGCTTGGTTACGAGAAAGAGTAAAGTATAGCGATGAAAAAGGCACTCGTATACTTAAATTAGAATGAGAACATTATTTATGAAAGAGCATGTTAATAAAATTTGATTAGATTTTCAAAATTTACTATGTGCCTGTTTGTTTTTTATTTTCAAATTCTACAGTAAATTAATTCTCATTTTCAAATAATATTTTCCATCACATCAATAATTTTTTCTTCTTTTTCAACCACATATTTTTTAATAAAATAATATTTTCCATCACATCAATAATTTTTTCTACTTTTTAAACCACACAATTCCTATCATATCATTATTTAAAAATAAATTCTTCCACCAAAAATCACATTTGGTATGGATTTTGATTTTCTACAGTAAATCAATTCTTATTTTCAACCACACATTTTTCAATAAAATAATATTTTCCATCACATCAATAATTTTTTCTTCTTTTTCAACCACACATTTCCTATCATATCATTATTTAAAAATCAATTCTTCCCCCAAAAATCCCTACCAAACAAGTACTATATTTTCGTCGTGAATAGCCTTGTATTGTTAAAAGAACCTTGTTACAATAGGTAGGCCCAGAGGTGAAGCCCGAGGGGAGTTAAAAAAAATACTTTAAACCAGACAAATACAATAATATTTTTTCAAATTAAAAAAAAAATTCATTATTATTATTATTATTTTTGGAAAGAGGGGGATTAACCTTCCTAAATCATCCTTGAGAAGAGCTTGACTATGAAACGTTTGTGTCGTAGCTAGTTCAATTATGTTTTTTGTACATCAATAGTTGACATCAATTTTGACACCTCGTTAATGTGTAGAAATATTGGTCATTGATTGAAAAAAGGTGTTGAAATCAATGTATAAAAAATTGTCAACTCATACAATGTCAAAAAAACTGTCAAACTTGATGATAATGTAGCATCACTGTAGCTAGTTAGACAGACGTGTGAAGAGTTTGACAAGATACTTGTTTTGTATGAGGCTGATGTCATGTTCGACGTAAAGATTGAGAGCAATTAAGGGCTTAAAGATGCTCTTGATTGTAGACTTGTGAACTTAGTTTAAGAAGTCCTCAGCACGTCGTTATGCAAAGGTGAACATCATTTCGAGCACTCTCTTTTATACTAAGTTTGCACCATGTATAGCAGTGTTTTAAAAAATGTAAAACGTAACTAAACGTGGAGGCTAAGTTTTAAATTTTATGAGCCTAGACAAGGCCTAAGCATTAAAAAATTTTACTTTTTTTATTAATAATTTAAATACTTAAATCATTCTAAAAATTATTTAAGAAATGCAAAAACTAAACTATTTTCTATAGTTTTAATTTTCAACTAAACAAGTCATACTTAACAAATTTATAGGAACTTTATATAAACGTTTCGAAGTTTTCAACAGAACAATAAGCTTAAAAAGTCATAATTGTATAATAGGTAACACCGTAGTTTAAATTTTATCTAAATCTTTATCCTATAAATTCATTTGTTTTTTATTTTGTACGTATAAAATCATTTAAAATTTTGAAACTAAAGTCAAATACAATTCTTTAAAAAAAAAGAAAAAAAATAAAAATATTGATAAATTAATGTCAAATAAAAGATTTTTACCAAAAAAAAAACCTAATAGAGCGGTCAACTTAAACGATCAGTCAAAACATTTTGTCTGTGCCTCACATCTAAGCACCGCTTAGACGCACTTCTTATAACACCGATCGTATCAAACGCAATTCTCGTGAAAAGAATGAAAAAACATGACCATCGTCTAGTTATACTCATAGCGAAATGTTGAGCTAAACTTTGGTAAAAATTGCAAACCGTCGTATTTCGTGGCCACACGAAGAAGGGCTGACTTAGGCAAGCATAAGCAATTTGATAACGACACGTAAAGCAGCATTTATTTTGTCAGCAAAAGAAAATTGTTGGGGGCCATTTCACTTTGACCACTCCCACACCATCATTTGTATACGCCAAGTAATTGCTAAATACTTTAATTTTATCAATAAAAATATGGATACTCGTTATGTTATTGATCATAAGTATTGGAATCTACTGCAAATCCACACTGCAGCAGCAAAAGCCCAGTTTCTACTTTCTACCCCACCATCCCGTCCTCTTCTCCACTGCTGCAGCAAACTCTGCAGTGCACCTTCTGACCTCTGAATATAAAACGAAAGCCACCATTATTCTGCATAACCCCAAACTCCTCTCCCGTTATTATTATTATTATTATTATTATTATTATTTTTTGACCTTTTCCAGCATTTCCTTCGGTTAAAGATTAAAAAGAGGAAGAGCTAAAAGAAAGAGATAGCTAGCAGCATATTCTATATGGATCTCTTCTCTATTTCTTCTTCATTTCATATTCTGAGTCTCTGCGTTTCCATTATCCTCTTTTTTGGAGGTTTGTCTTTCATTTTCCTCTTAAAGATGCAATTTTTACTGGTTTTTAGGAAGAAAAATGTGATTTTTTAATTTTTGTTTTCTTTTATGTTTGGCAGGTGCATTGGGTGCTACATTTACATTTGTGAACAAATGTGAGTACATGGTATGGCCGGGGATACTAGCAAATGCCGGTAGTCCTAGTCTCGACAGCACAGGATTCGAGCTCTCACAGGACTCTTCCCGGACATTCAATGTCCCTACGGGATGGTCGGGTCGGATGTGGGGCAGAACCGGCTGCACATTCGACGGATCCGGATCAGGTTCTTGCACCACTGCGGACTGTGGGTCGGGTCAGATGGGATGCAACGGCGCCGGTGCATCCCCACCAGCCACTCTAGCAGAGTTCACCCTCGGAACCGGCGGTCAGGACTTTTATGACGTCAGTTTAGTTGATGGGTACAACTTGCCTATGATTGTTGAGCCCTCAGGCGGCTCGGGTTTGTGTGCTTCGACGGGTTGCGTGACGGATCTGAACCGTGTCTGCCCAAGTGAGCTGCGAGTAGGTGGTGGGGAAGCATGTAAAAGTGCGTGCGAAGCTTTTGGTAGTCCGGAGTATTGCTGCAGCGGCGCGTTTAACTCACCCACCGCCTGCAGGCCGTCGGTTTATGCCCAGATGTTCAAATCTGCTTGCCCCAGATCCTATAGCTATGCTTATGATGATCCTACCAGCACTTTCACTTGCGCTGGTGCAGATTATACTGTAACTTTTTGCCCCTCCATGCCAAGGTAATGTAAAATCTCATTTTTATTTCTAATTTCCTTTCTTCTTGGGTTTTAGTATTGATGGGTATATATTTTTTCTTCTTACAGTCAAAAATCTTCAAAAGATCCAACACCAACAACGACAGCACCAGTGACAACAACTGATGGGTCCATATCCGGGTCGTCTACTGGTGGGTCTATATCCGGATCTACTACTGATGGGTCTATATCCGGGTCGTCTACTGATGGGTCTATATCCGGATCTACTACTGATGGGTCTATATCTGGGACTGGTACAACAGGCACGGATGGATCCGAAACAGGATCCGGATTGGGGGTGACGGGTGCGGATCTGGGTTCAGAATCTGGGTCAGGATCTCAAGCTATACTTACAGATGGATCATGGTTGGCTGGTTTGGCAATGGGTGACTCAACTAAAATTTACACTTCAAATTCTGCCCTAATTGCCTTAGCTCTTTTTACCCTCTCCATTATTTGTTTGTAGTCTCTCTAGGTTTGTGGTTTCCTAGGCAGACATTGAACGCGAGCCTGTCTTGAAGGGAATGAGATTTTGGCTTTTTTAGTAGAAAATTAGAATGATTTTGTGGAGATTTGGTGAACTTGTCACTGTTATCTATATGTTTACTTCTAGGTCTTGACTTTTGTGTATAGTGCTATTCCGGTAATTTTATCAAGATAGTTTGCTATTAAAAAAAATAAAAAATAGTTTGCAATTATTAATTACTGCATTGGATTCTATTTGTTTGATAATACTAAAATAACAATAATGTAAAGGGTGTGTGAGTCTATGCACTAATGTGAATAGGAGAGCTGGATTGTGGGCTAATTGTCTGAAAAAAGGTTGTCTTTGCGGGAATTGCAAGCATAGCTTTTGAACTTGTCTGCTATGGCTGAAGGCAGATGGATTTATTCTACAGGGATCACGTTATCATGTCACTTGGTCTAGTTCGATGACATATGCAGAGGTAAGAGTGTTCGCTTTTAAACGAGCAAAGCAGAGCTATGTTCACCTGCACAAGTGGTTAACTTTTGTGAATAGGCTTACATAATTTACCAGGATTACAAGCAGATTGTTGTCACTACATACCATTCAAGAATCTTGGGATAAGATGGTGTCTAGCTCAGCTTTGCTAGGCATACGGAAAGAGCAGCTCCTTTCTGTGGTGTTTCGACATATTTTCAGCAATATAACCCTTCAAAAAAAGCTGCTTCTTTAACTCATAAGCAAAGCCAAACATGCTAAAGCACAAGTTTGTGAGTATAAAGATGCAGAGCTTGTGAAGAAACTAGCTCCAAGACTCCATTAACATACCATAGGATAATGATATTCACCTTTTCTGAGTTCTTCAATAGGAAGATATGTAACAACTCTTTTTTTTTTTTATCAGTTAATGTGAATTATATAGATTAAAACTTATATGCAAATATACCGGGCATTCCTGGGCGAAAAACAACACATATATGGATCAAAATAACAAATACATCAAAACACCGGGCATATCCGGGCAATCAAAAGAGAATCATAACACGATTACACAACTAGCGCCAAAGACTCATAAAGAATTAAAACATGAGGATACAAAGAAAACATAACTTTGTATATGTGTGTTTTAATCCGTCTAACAACGCTCTCGACTTGTGCATTAAGACCTTCAAAAATTTTCATGTTCCTTGCCGTCCATAGATGGTAAGCGGTGCTAGCAAGTGCGATCTTCTTGGCCTTACTATGCCAAGATGTCTCCCGGGCTTCTTTTTTCATCCATTTCAAGGCATTTGGAAGTGTAGACATAGACGTCTAATCCCAAGCCACCCTCGAACTTGTTCCCAAACCGAGGCACTAAAGTGGCAAGCAAAAAATAGGTGTTGTTCCGTCTCCACATCACCATTACAAAAGCAACATTTTTTATCGATTTCCAAAAATATCAATTTGTCCTTAGTAAGAAATTTGGACTGCACTCCAAGCCATAGAATTAATGCATGTTTGGGTGTAACAGAAGAATTCCACACTGTACCTGCCCAAGCTCTCTTCAGCCCTTTATTTCGATTTCCAAAAATATCAATTTGTCCTTAGTAAGTAGTTTGGACTGCACTCCAAGCCATAGAATTAATGCATGTTTGGGTGTAACAGAATAATTCCACACGGTACCTGCCCAAGCGCTCTTCAGCCCTTTATTTCTGAAAAAAATCATAGGCTGTTTTTATGCAAAACCTCCATGCTATTTCCCAGCTATCCAAACGTTGCTGCCCAGTCTGTGCCTCAAACTGTCCGTGTTCGGTCAAAGGCGGCCAAATGTATGCCCCTAACTGCCCATGTCCGTGAGATGCAGCCTGATTCCATGCATTAGTCTCTCCATTTCTAGCAAAGTGTGACTGTGCCTGTGCATTCGGCAGTCCATGTAAGTGTGCCGGCTAGTATATTCGTCCAGCCTCATGACTTTCCGGAGTCACTGCAATCAGCCCCTTAATTCCAGCAGTCTTTTAATCAATGGCGAATCATCTTTTCTTCCCACGTACTCCCAAATATTGAAGCCATGTAAGAAAACATGATTTATCCACCTTACCCACAAGGTATCCTTTTTACATTGGATGTTCCAAAGAGTTTTAGCCAAAAGTGCTGAGTTCCAACATTTCATATCCCAAAAACCATGGCCACCCTCAATTTTTGGCAAGCACACATTACTCCATGCAACCAATGGTTTTCTCGATCCCCAAAGGAAATTACGACAAATGGCAATAATCTTAGAAACCACTGTAGATGGAATAGGTAGAATGGATAGCCAAAAGCATTCAACCCCTTGAAGCATCACTCTAATAAGTTCGGCCCTCCCCATATAAGACAAAGTAGTCCTAGACCATGCTCCAATGTAGCCCGAGATTTTATTAATGAACAAATCATAAGAACTAACCTTCAATTTTTCCGCTGCAATTGGGATTCCCAAATAACGAAATGGCATAGATCCCTTAGCCATGTTAGTTATTTGGTAAATATCATCCAACTCTTGTCCATGCACTCCCGCCGTATACAAGTTGAACTTACTCACATTCATTCGAAGTCCCGACATGTCCCCAAATTTATTCAAACAATCCATCAAAATACCAACCGAGATAGGATCCTCTCTAGCAAATAACATCAAATCATCGGCAAACGCTGGATGAGTAATCTTCAATGGACCACATTTAGGGTGATAGTTGAATTTACTTTCCTCGATCGCATCCTTGAGAAATATTCAAGGCAAATAACAAACAAAAAGGGAGAAAGAGGATCATCTTGACTAAGACCCCGTGATCCCTTAATGAAACCATAAAGCCCACCATTAATACCAATAGAATATGTAGGGGAAGAAATGTACTCCATCACCCATCCAATGAATTTTGTTGGGAAGCCAAGTCCAACAAGTACAATCCGAAGAAACTCCCAATTCACCGAATCATAAGCCTTTCTAAGGTTTACCTTGAGAAGGCATCTAGGAGCCACCCTCTTACGGTTGTATTGCCTAAGAAGTTCTTAAACAAGATGAATATTTTCCACCATACTTCTTCCCTCCACAAATGCGGCTTGAGCTTGATCAATAATAGGCCCAAGCATAGGACCCAACCTAGATGCAAGGATTTTTATGGTAACCTTATAAAAAACATTACAACATGCAATAGGCCTATAATCCCCAATGGAATTAGAGAGATTTGCCTTTGGAACCAAAGCAACAACTGTGTGATTAGTTTGCTTGAGTAGTCTACTAGTAGTGAAAATTTCCAACACCGCCTCCACAAAATCTTTACCAACAATGCTCCAAGCTTTCTTGAAAAAACAAGAAAAAAAAACATCTGGTCCTGGTGATTTGTCATCTCCCATAGAGAATAAGGCATTCTTAATTTCATCCTTCGAAATGTCTTTAATCAAAGTTAAAGCATTCTCTTCCGTTAGCATAGAGCCACCCCTCAAGATATTATCACAAATAGGTGTTTCTGGCCTATCTTTCCCCATATTGTCACTATAGAATTTTTCAAATTCATCTGCCACTTCCTCTAAAGATGAAGTAAAAGTGTCATCCTCCTTAGAAATTTTAGCGATAAAATTCCTTTTAGCTTTCCTTTGAACTATGAAGTGAAAAAATTTAGTACACTTATCACTTTTAATAAGGTGCTCACATTTAGCATTTTGGAAGTAAAAACTCTTCTCTGCTTCACCGAAGTCCCTAGCCTTCTTCCTCAAATTAGCCACTTTACGTTGAAGATCCTCATTACATGGATCATCATGTAGCTCCAATTGAGCTTCTTTCAAAGTCGAAGTAGCCATACTTGCTCTAGAAGATATATGAGCAAAGTGTTTTTCATTAAACCTCCTCAGTTCACCCTTTAAGATTTTCAACTTTTTACAAAGAATGAATTGTTTGGTTCCCCTGACCTCAAAATCCCAAACATTGTGCACCACTTCAAGAAAATTTTCATGGTTAGCCCATATGTTAAAGAATCTAAACTGTCTTCTCTTACTTCTATCATTCCCAAAAAGAGAGACAACACAAGGTGAGTGATCTGATAGGTACCCCGAAGGTAGAAAATTTGCAAGACTATTAAATCCATTTTGCACCCAAGCATCATTCATCATAGCCCCATCAATCTTGCTCCACTTGGAATTATTAGTCAAAGTATAGAAACACCCAATAGATCGCACATCTGTAAGTCCCACATTTAGACAAACATTCTCAAAATCCCTTACTTCATATGGTGTAACATCGGTACTATTGCTCCTTTCATTAAAATGAAGTACATTGTTGAAATCTCCCAAAATCAACCAAGGTATGGAGCACTCCAATCCAAACTTCATAATATTATCCCAAAGTGGTCTACGACTAACAATCGAGTGAAAGGCATAGACAAAGCTAACCATGAATTTAAGTAAGGTTACCTTGCAAGTAATGACACAATGGATGATTTGTGAGGTAATCTCCAAGACTTCCAATTCCACTTTCAAGGGGTTCCATAATACCAAGATACGTCCTGCCCTATGAGAAGGCAAGTTGTTGATTTGCAAAAAATTTCCAAACTTATTCCGCATGATTCGGTCAAGTTTAGACGCTTCCTACTTAGTTTCCAAGATACCCAATATATCAATATTATGTTGCTTCAAAAAGTGCTCAACAGCATTTTGTTTTAGGGAAGTATTCATACCCCTAATGTTCTAGGTGCTGCAAATCATGATGATGATTAAGGAAGGGTAATCCCTTTCTTCCTCTCCTTAGCTGTAGATATTGGTTGTACCATCCCCTCCTCTTTGCGTTTACGCATTTCAATTGTTGAGATATTTCTTTGAGCCACTATGTTAACCCCATTTTTCGAATTCTCTCCTTGTACATTGGTATCACCCGATGACTTAGATGTGTGACTGCCCACATTTGGATTAGTTTTAGAGCACTGTCCACTCTGCATTTGCTTATGTTTTACCCCTTTTTTCTTCCTAGTAACTTGTATAAATGGCTCCTCAATGTG